ATATATTCAAATAAGGCTAAAAGGAAAAAAACATACAGTTCAACTACTCATATCTGCCCTGAAATCTACAGGATCTGAGGCTGTGCACAAACCCTCTATAGAGCTGCTCTACACTTCAACCACAGCAAAAGAAATACACCTCTGAAGCTGTTGGGTCACTGTTTATCATCACGCTGCCAATGGCATGCACTGCTACAGGGCAACAGTCCTGCCCCCAAGACTGAATGCCTCAGGTAAGTAAAGAACTCCCATACCTGTCCAGTATTCCTGGAAGAAATGACGCTCACATCAGCTGGATTCTCAATAGCCACAATAGCACGGGCTGCCAGGAGGAGCTTCTCCCAGGTCCTCTTGAGATTGATGATGTAAATACCTACAGGTGACAAAACAATTTAGATAACAAGTAAAGAAATTTCTAAATCAAGACAGCACTCGCCTGCTATTAAACTTGTCACAGAGCTGCAGTTACTACAAAACACAAGTTAGCAGAAAGCTGTTCCAAGAAAAATCCAACAACATGATTTTAAGATAGTTTAACTGTAGCCATTATGGTCCAACCCATAAGTACAGACCTGTGTCTGTTACGAGCTGGAACCTTTTCACATGGTGAAGTTTAGATTTAAGAACAGCACAAGAAGCACGAATTACTACTCAGACTACACTTATTGCTACATTGCTACAGTCAGGAACTAGTAGAGACGCCTCAATCCAAATGATTCCTTTGTGTTCTATCAGAAGTGCTTTGTTTTATTTTTTTGAGGAACGATATTTGTTTGGATTTCTGTACTTTGCAGGGTCACGAACTACTGGGAAACAGAAACGGTAGCACTCAGCTTTTTCTGTTTTGCCCATCAACTCCCAGCTAGCCCAGCAGTTGCACCCCGGACTCCCACCCCAGCGATCTACCATCGCTCTTCCTCTTGTAGATATATTGCTCCATCTGGAAGTCGAGATTGGTGCCTCCCAGGTGGGTCCCGGCAGCGAGGAATTTGAGGACATCCTCCTCCTTCATCTGCAGGACATCGAGACCTCCGGACATCGTGGAGTTTCCCTTAAGAAGCAACGACAGGGAACCTGCGGGCACAACCACCCAGCTCAGTCCCTCACGTGGCGGGCGCCCCGGCCGCCATCTTGCCCGCGCCGGCGGCCTACCCTTCAATCCCCCTCTGCTTCCCCGAGGAAGCTCGGCCCGCTGAGGGGAGCACGCATAGAACACCCGCTAAGAGCCATTAACGCCTCAAGGTGCGCGCACCGCCACCAGCCCCCAAACCGCCCGCCGGAGCCACGACTCACGCGGACAACGCCGTGTGGAGGCCTCGGCGGGCGCCGAACGAAAAGGAAGCCGTGGGCCGTATGACGTCAATATATAGCCTCCCCGACAGCCAATGGGAGCGACGCGTTCACCGGAAAGGGCGGGGCTCCGCGGGTTGCTAAGGAAGTATGCGCCTAGCGACCCGCGGCCTGCGTGTGTCGTGGCGGACTGCGGGGCGGGTGGGCGTGGCTCGTCTGTGCCATGGGGGAAGCCGCGGCAGGAGAAGGGAGGGGTTGATTCGTGTTACCCTTAAGCGCTGCTGGACCAGTAGCGATGTGCTGACCAAAATAGTCTAACCACAATCCTCGCCCCAAAAAGGAGCAGCGGGCATTTTGATATGTCACTGGTGAAATAAGTCACACTTAGCACTAGTGTTTCATCACATTCCTTTGGCTTCCAATTTCGCCATTAGGCGTTTCCTTTAATAAGCGTTTGAGATTCTGCTTGTCATCATGTTTCTACGTACCCCGTCCCTTGGCTCTTCCACAGTGCTCTTTGCCACCCTGAAGGCAAGCTGAGGAGTGCAGTGGGCAGCCAGCACCTGTTTGTGACAAAAGTAACACCTTGCCCATCATTCTGCATATAAATTCCTCTTTCCCTATCAAAAATCACCTTCAGTCTTCCTGTCCGGTGGATGATTCACATGGAACAAGGTTACCCTTCACCCCTTTGTGGTGCCAACTGATTTGCCTGGCAGCACTCTACCTGGTATTTCAGGTGGTTTGCTGCTTGCTGAGCTTTGAGACACTACAAAGCTTCACCAAATATGTTACCAGTGACCAGTTGATGTTCCTTTCATTGTACCAGTGTCTGTTATTCATTTGAATCAATAAAAAAATCTGTCATTGTATTACTGAATGGTAATAGAATGAATAGAATACTGAACTGGGAAGCTCTAGAAGTGCTTCAGCTTACTTGTGCAATGAAACGGAAGATTATTACAGCAAAAAGAGTGTTCATCCACAGTGCGAGGCTGTTCCTGCTATGCCTCACTTCGTGTGACAAATACATTTCCTTGTGGACAATGTCATGCACTAGGCTAGCAATGGCTTTAGTGGCACTGCAGCTAGAACCATGAAACAAACTACCTGACTGGTATGAGTGAAGCATATGAAGAGTGAAGAGGAATGCAGTTATGACCGTGCTGCAGAACATAAATTTATAGAAAGCTGCCCTTCATTCTTCAGCTTCTTGGATGATAGTATCTGCCAAAACTACATGATTTATTTGTCACTATTCTTTAAGAGAGTAATTCATACATTTGCCACGTGGTGGGGACAAAGGTATGTAAAACCATGCCATGCTGAAATGAGCAAGAATCATAGAATCATAGAATTTCTTAGGTTGGAAAGAACCATAAAGATAATCTAGTTCCAACTCCCCTGCTGTGGGCAGGGCTGCTACCCACCAGACCAGGCTGCCCAAGGCCCCATCCAACCTGGCCTGGAATACCACCAGGGATGGGGCATCCACAGCTTCTCTGGGCAGCCTGTGCCAGAGCCTCACCACCTTCATAATGAAAAACTTCCTCCTAACAACTAACCTAAATTTCCTGCTATGTGGAGAGCGAAAGTTGACATTTGGGATTATGTTCAACATATTTGTCCTAGCAGGAGATTCTGGGTGGGAGGAGACAGGTGCTGTTACTGCAGTGCGTGGTATGCTTGGTCTGGAAAACACTGTAGAAGAATAATAATTTTTAAAATTGTATTAGAAGTTTATTTGAACATGATTGAAAGATTAGTAGAGAAAATGCAATACATGCAGTGTTATCAAATGAGTGCTGCTCATAAGCATTCCAAGCTCCTCTGCAATCTCTAATTTCTTATACTTGCACCTTGGGCCTTTTCAGGTGGACTAACTCTTCCATCTGCAAGAGCTCTTGCTCCACAACTCATGAAAGGCCTTGGAAGGGTCATAAAGCTTGACAGTATTTTTAATTATTTTCTTAAGCAACCTGAAAATTCACTTTTTTTGTGTACTGAGACACTTCAAAATGGCTCAATCACTAATCACAGAGTCATAGAATGGTTTGGGTTGGAAGGGACATTTAGTTCCAGCTCCTCTACTATAGCCACCTCCCACTAGACCAGGTTGCTCAGAGCCCCATCCAGCCTGGTCTTGAACAACTCCAGGGAGGGGGCATTAACAGCCTCTGTGGGCAACCTGTTCAGGTGCCTCACTACTCTCACAGGAAATAATGTCTTCCTAACATCTATTCTAAATCTATCCTCTTCGAGTTTAAAACCATTTCTCCTGTCCTGTTGCTACATGCCCTTATAAAAAGTCCCTCCACAGCTTTCCTGTAGGCACCCTCCAGGTACTGGCAGGCTGCTATATGGTCCCCCTGGAGCCTTCTCCAGGCTGAAAAGCCCCAGCTCTCAGCTGGTAGTTGGGGGAAAGGTTAAGTGGCAGGGGGAGATCATAGAATCATTTGAGTTGGAAGGGACCCTTAATGGCCACCTAGTCCAGCTCCCTGCAGTGAACAGGGACATCTGCAGCTAGATCACTGCTCAGTGCCCCATTCAGCCTGGCCTTGAGTGAGTCCAAGGACAGCATCCATCACATCTCTGGGCAACCTTTTGCAATGTCTCACTATCCTTATTGTTAATAAATAAATAAGTTCCTTATATCCAGTCTTAACCTTCCCTCTTTCAGTTTGAAACCACCACAGCAGACTCTGCTGAAAAGTATGTCTCCTACCTTATCATCCCCCTTTAGATACTGAAAGATCACAATCAGGTCTTCTTGAAGCCTTCTCTAGTCTGAACAGACCCAGCTCTTTCAGCTTGTGTAATGGAGATGGTGACCACTGACTCAGCTTAAAGCCAAAAATGCCTCCTCCACAGCGGGGAGCATGCATGCTAGTTTGGGTACATAGAGCCAATAGAAAACAAGTAGATATATCTAATGCTATTTCTTGCAGTAAATGTCTATGTAACTACAGACTAATATAAGTACTATTTTGTGGGTCTGCTGAAGGTGTGCTAGCTTTGTGAAATTTGCACCTAGCACCCATCTTTGCACAAATACAAACTAAATACATTTTTTGTTCTCTGTGTATAGGATTGGCAGGTAGGACACCAGCTACCAGATGCCATTTGCAGGACAATGTTAAAGGAGTTTAAAATGGCTGCAGTCAGTTTTTGGCAGCCTGAAGTCTGCAGCTCAGTCCACTGCTTAGGCAGCGAGATGGTTTCAGAAAACCACAGAGCTAGAGAAGGTTTCCTGCATAGATCAGGTCTGTCTGCAGGACTTCAGCTCTTACTCAGTGTATGTCCATTTCTGTTCGTAGACTTAGATGCCTTCAGCAAAACATAAGTTTGTGTCGTAAAACCATTGAGATCAGTGGTTGTAGATTCGAACAATTAACAATGATTTAAATCCATGGAAACCAGGAGGGTAAGATGTGTAGATAAAAATTAAATATGATAGCACCTTTAATACCAGTCAGGTGAAGAACGGCAGTAGCTGTGGCTCTGAAGTGCTTCCTTGTTTCTGTGTGGTTGTTTCTGTTGTGGCTGTGTGGTTCCAACATGTCACCAACTTGAGATGCGGAAAGCTGGTGCACAGAACAAACACCCTGTTTCTATGTGCTAGAAACCCTCAGTGCAGCCAACAAATGCGGCAGTTAGCACAGAAGGAAAAGAGAAGGAGGCCTCAGCTAAATTCTTGTTGGCATAAGCAAAAAGCTGGGAAAGAACAGCTTTTCTGTATGTGTTGCATTTGAGGCTATTCAAAGTGATCTCCAGCTCTTGTTCATAGCTTGCTTTAAGTCAGTTCTGCATGTTTCTCATGTGATAAAGAATGAAACTTATCCTGATTACTGCAGTAAGTTTGCTTCTTCACCAGCTGGGATATTTCTTTATGAGGGTAAGATCTTCATAGCTGTTATGATCTGCGCTAATGAAATCCAGTGGAGCTGATTTTCATTTCACTTTTTGTGTGTGTCAGCATGAACAGACAGCTCACTTACAGTTGTATGTTGTGTTCTGTGCAGAAAGCTACAGTACAGGAGGGATCTGTATGCAGATGGCAGTGAGCCAAAGGTGACACAGGACCCTTCATGGTGAGTTTTGAAACTAAGTCATGAAATACTGTGGTGGCTTGGGAGAAGTGGCCAAGGGGAATGCAAATATGCTCCCAGCGTTACAGAGCTTGCTGAAGTCTAATTATGGCTTTAAGATATTTTTGTTTTAAGTTTTAGACTGGGTGAGTTTGTGACAGAACACCCCTGCCACAACTGCTGGATTATTTCCCATTAAATGGAGGCCTAATTCAGGTCTGCTTTGTGTTCTCAAATATTAGCAGTGTGCTGTTTAAATGTAGTAATGCGATTACTTTCTCTACGGTTGAGCCAGGAATTTGATTTGTGGGTCCTTTCTAGCTCACAGAATCACTCTATGATTTCAGATCTGTGTGGTCTGGGGCTATTTTGAACTGTCAGTACCAGCAAGGCAGTGACATCTCTGAAGAAGCCTTGTGCAGAGCAGCAGGGTTGGAGCCCAGGATGCCCAATGGGACACAGAAGGCTTTTCCTGAACATAGGAGTAGCCTTAGCAAGCAAGATGGCACACGGGAGTGAATCCACAAAAAGGAGTCCTCAGCATATGGTCACTTCTGCAGCAGCAATGAGACTTGAGGCAGGATGGCACAGAAGCATCACTGAGTTCGTGCCAACCTCTGAGAAGTCCATCAGCAAGGTTGAGGTTCCTGGCGTGCTCACAAAGCCTCAGAAAGACAATCTCCCTGGCAGCTAACCCAGGCTGCTGGGAAGAGCAACAGCCCTTGCTAGGAGCCACCTCTGAGCAAGGAGTCTGTAATGGGATCCCCAAGTGGAGGGAAAGCCACCTGGCTGCTGCACAGACATCTGTGCAGAAGGGATCCTCTGAAGAATGGGTTGAATGGTTTATTTGGTGGGTGACATGAGAGAGGATCAGGAAGGCAGATCTTTGGGCTCCATCTTTGCCATCAAGCATGTCTGGAGGTGTCATGCAGGTGATAGTATGGAGTCAGTGGAGGAAAATCCGCACTAAGACCAAAATGAGAACATAAATACACAGCCATCTCCCACAAAGGTTTGCACTGTTCATGTTGCCTAGGATTCCTCAATGAAGAGGTGGGAACTCAGCTAAATGAGACGCTGGCTTCTCTGATGCCTCAGCCCAGTGCCTTGAAAGGGTGCTTTGGTCCACTGCCAGAAGGCAACTGAGGAAATGGAGAGTGAAGGCGTTGGCTTCAGCCAGTCTGTGCACAGCCTCCCTACTATCCATGGAGTTACTGAGTTACAGGTGTTGTTTAAGCCTTTTTTTCCCTGTCCCACAAAGTTCTGGTCTGGTAGTTCCATTCAGTGGAACTGATGAGCATCCAGTGAAGGGGATACAGTTGTGCAGCACCATGCCTAGGATCCCATTGACAAAGATGCAGAAATAGTCAAGCCGAGAGGATTATGGCCTCACACTGCTTCAGGAAGGACATCCCACAGGTGGGAAACAGAGGTGTTAGCCAGCTAACACAGTCTTCCTATGGTCAATAAAAGACACATTACCTTTTCTACGTTGTGCGAGTCCTTCCTTCTCATCTCACGTTGTCTGTGTGTCCCTCTTCCCCCTGTCCCTGGACCATGAAGAGGAAGAGTCTGTTCCAGGGTGACCCCCATGGGGAAGGGAGGAGAGGGCTTTGCTTCCCTTATCCTGTTAGAACAGAGAGAAAAGGCAACTGGCAGAAGGCAACCAGGGTCACTGGAGGTCTGGAGGTGTTGTGTGTTGTGTTTTGTTTTTTTTTTTTTTTAAAGTTGATGGTATTTTTATTTGAAGCAACAGATTATCTTCATTACCCTGTATCTGTTTTTACACCTTGGTTTCATTTTTATGTGTGGAGATGGGCCCATATCCAGTGAAGCTGTGCAGTATTGTACAAAAGCAGTGTTTGCAGACATTAACACACGCAGTGCACAGCCTAACAGGTGAACTTCGGGTCCTTCCAAGTACAGGTTTAACTGAGTGCATGGTACACTGGGAAAAGAAAGAACCATTCTCCTGTAGCTGCGTGGCTTTTGTCCAGAGGTGGTCCCACTTGCCTTTATGCAAACACAGTGACTGAATTTTGTGAGGCTGTTTGTCATTGCATATCATGCTACATACTTCTGTGGAAACTGCCTCTGGGAACAGCTACAGCTTTCTTCAGAAACGTGCTGAAAACTCCATGAAACTGAGGATAGTACTCAGTGCAGTGACAACTCATGCAGTGCATGGAGGCAGGGTTCTTTTTCTGAAGATATAATTTTCCCTTCAGCTTGCAGTTTCATGGGAGAAAAATGTGTCACAACTGCATTACTGAAGTTAGAACTGCTATCTGTTAGAGCCTTACTAGTATTATCTTCATAAATTCCAGCTTGGCCTGCATTCCAAAGGCTTTTCTTTCACATGTTGGAGAAACAAAGCCTTCTAGTTCTACAGAAGTTGCAGATGTCTCATCTTTAGCCTCATTTTGCCTGTTTTTTTTTTTAGTAGAAGGCAGAGTAAAGGCAATGTTTTATTACAAGGACTTCAGCTGTTCCCTTCCCCGCCCCCCAGGGTTGACAAACCTGTCCCTTATCTCTCCTCCCAGCTGGACAGTTGGCAGTGGTGCGAACAGAAACGCCCTCTGAAGTGAATGTGGGTCTGCAAGGCAGCAGCTCTGGGAGCTCTGCATGCTATGAATCCCAGGTCAGCACTATGACAAGAGGAGGTCAGCAGTCAGCTGTCTCCTTGCACCATGCTTTGCAGTGGAAAATGAAATCCCAGGCACAATTTCTGGCCTTTTGTTAAGAGCAGACTGCCTGAATAGCACAGTTCAGGTTGGCTGGAGATGAAAAAGTTAGTCACTACCCAGCGTGCTCAGAATGCCAGCATCTGAAAGCATTTTTAACACTGGATATTGAGATTAAATTTCTTATCAGTTTTGACACACACAACAGGCAGACATAGGATGGTGTGAGAAAGACAAGAATTGCTATGTATTATTTCTTTCCATTTAATAAAAAACAATTTAGGTGTGTTTACTATGCCCCCAGAAGAGAATACTCACTGCCTTGCATAAATCTCAGCTCATCCAATAGTTCAGTTCCCTTGGGAAGCTTCTTTTGCTTTCCTAAGCCTCTTCTCCATCCCACCCCTTTAGATTTTCTTTTTTGGAAGAAATATTCAGAAGACATTCTTAATTTTGGTAACCACAGCTTTTAATATAAATATATTCCTTATCACATAAATATTTCATGTAAACATACACTCAAAATACTGTCCCAAAGCTCCAGTCAAAAAAAAAGAAAAAAACACTACAGGCAGCATGGAAATAACACAAAATCAATAGACAATCAGACTATTTCTCCTGTATCTTTATAATTTTCAGGTAAATACTGACTGCCTCCATCTGTTAACCAGTTGTGTTCTTAGAGCACAGCTGCAGGAATAACAGAATCAATGCACGTTCACTAACATGGAATTGCCAACAAGTGAGGTCATTGGGAGAGGGGTCTGATGGTGATCTGGCAATCTAAAAAAGCTCACACTGTCACCTTAGCTTCTCCAAAATCCAGGCTAAAATGACTTTGTCAGTGATTATCTGCTGGGATTGTTAGCACTGAATTGCAGGGGTTATGCAGACAGGAGACTCAGTACCTGCCTCTGGAATTTTCTTTGGTTTTTATTTGCATTTAAGTTGCACAACAATAATTTGTTGTTCATTAGAAGCACAGAACATCACAAGCAATATATCCAAAAAATTGTTTTTGACTTGGTATAACTATCAAAAAGTAACTTCAACAAATCACTCTAGAAATAGAATGTTTTTGAAGAGAGTAAAAGGGTGAGGGGTAGTGAGGATCAGAGCTGAGGAAGCTGAGTCTTCCTGCCTATTGACACAGATGTCAGATCACAAAGCAGAACCTCAGGCTCTCTCTTACCCTATATGTAAGGGAAGCAACAAGAGAAATAATAAAAACAAACTCACATGACAAAACTCACTGGCTCCTGTCTAGAGAGGTCTTTGGATTTACAACACCAACCGCTGATGAAACAGGTGGTGAAACTTAGGTTTGTTAAAAACCAAGAGCCCAGGCTAGTTCACATGTCAGAAGCACACACTTTTTCACACTGCTGCAACATTGAAGAGCCTCCTCATTCTCCAAAAAGTGCAGGCAATGGAAGGGCTTTCAAGAAGAAAAAAATCTAACACAGCATTAGCCTAGAACCCAGATAAAAATCAGTTGACTTTGAAGACACCAGCAGTCAACTAGATTCTTCAGGTCTTTGTTACTTGACCAGGCAGAAGGAGAGGGCCTAAAAGCCACTGAAGTATTCCTGCATTTTAGATTTCTAATGAGGACATAACTTAATACAAGATTTGTCACCTAGCTTTCCTTGCTCACGTGCCTCATTATGCCTCTGTGTGCACAATTTGTACAGTGCTTTCCCATTGCTACATCAGGAATACTAAAATAAGAACAGGCTACCTGCTAAAAGAAAATGAACATCTGACAATCTGTCCAGGGTTTCTTTGTCCTTACCAAACACTCAAACCCCTCGAACTTTGGAGAAAGCTTAGAGAAAAGAACAGCCTCTTCTCTCAAACCAAAGATATTCCACATGCAGTCAGTAGTGGCTTCTCAGGGAAATTTAAAGTGTCAGTACAGTAGCAGTACCTGCTTCCATTATACATTTACGCTCTGGAAGCTATGACCTTAAAAGCTACATCTAAGGAGCAGAGGGATCAGCAAATGAGCAACAGGAGGCAAGTAAGTCTCTAGTACAACTGGATAAAAAACATTTGAGTTTTCCTGATATAGTCTGACCAGCAGGAAAAATGTCTTTCAGAGAATCAGGAGAACTTTGGTAGCAACTAATGCGCTCTCTACTTCTGGTTTAAAGTGCCTTACTCTTTCTAATTCCACTGCAAACGCTGTTGTAGCTACAGAAATGTATTTGAAGTGTTAAGATGCTCAGTTACCAAATGAGGCAACACAGCAGGGAGGTGCACATTACTTTCTCTGCTATCAAGCACAGTACAAAAATAATGACAGAAAATGTATTCCTAGTTTTCCCTCGGGGCCTCTTTTCTCTTCCATCCACTCTTGCATTATAAACATCAAGACACATATCCAGTCTTCTACTGTGGTCTGCAGTGCTCCCGGGGAGAACAAAGCATATGAGGAAGAAGGATCTGCATCAGATGGTGTACCATGATGGCCTTACTGGCCAGACAGCAAGGAAAACACAAGCAGGTTCTGCAGTCAACACTGCCCTCACTGTTTTCTCCTCAGACACTCAGCAATTTCTCATTGCATAAAGGTGGCACGCACAGAGCTATTTTTAAAATGGGCTTCTCTCAGCATAGATACCATGCTGTGGAAACCCTGCCCAAGGCAGTCCCAAGTACAGTCCTTCTGGAATGCACTGATCAAAAGATGCAAAGATTTGATCTTTCTTCCTTCTACTTCCCTAAAGGCCTAATCCTCTGCCTCAGAAGGGCTTTCTTCCTCCCAGCTGAGCAAGGCTTATTCCTCCTTGGAGCTGGGAGCTTTCCAGTGCCAGCTGGTCACAGCAAGCAGGAGAAGGAGTGAGGCTGGGCAGTTCCAGTGCAAGTCAGTCAGGATTTCAAGCCCATTTTTTCCATCATCTGCTCATATACAGTCCACGCCATTGCTGCCATCAAAGTACGCCTGAGGGCACGAGGCACACCGCCTCTGAAGAAGCCAACCAACCCAAAGTCCTGCAGCAGAAAACAAACAGCAATCCATTACCATCTACCTCCAGCATTTTAAATCCTCATCATTTATTACATGGAACAGCCCAGCATGTATTTCAGCTCAGATTCAGATCAGCCTCTGAAAGATCCAGGCTTAAATTACATTCAACCTTCAGGGAGAATCCAAAACACTGTGCAATTACAGGGCACCCACTGAAAAAAGAAGGAGAAGGGTATGCCAAAATAACAAAGGACAGGGAAAGCCACACTCTAGCCTGACAAAGAAAATGTCAAGGAGCAATCGTTTCAATCTGCTTCAGGAAAATGACTTGTCCTTGTTTGAGTGCTCATTCCTGTACAGAAAAATAACATAACTGTTCTTTAAAAACTGAAATTTATAAGTACTGAAAATAAATACATCTGTTAGGAGGATGCACAAAAAAAAAAAAATCCATACACAAATACAGATTCTTGTTTAGGAAAGAAAACAAAGCAAAGCTGCTAAGATCTACTACATTCTAAGGAAACCCTTTGCCTTAGTGTGGTAATTACAAATGTGCCTACACAGGTGGCAGCAGCTGCAAGCACAGCTACTCCAAGCTCACATTCAGAGCTAAAGTAACCACCAGTGTGAAGACATAGCAGGCATAGCAGACAACTGAAGCGTTATCATTCAGCAGCTTGATGCATGAGGCAGATCTGTGTGGAGAGATACTTGTGGAATTAGAGCACAAAGGTGGGCACAGCTTACTCTTCAACTGCCTACCTTCTGTAATTTTGTGCAAACAGTTAAAGGATTTGGGAATGGCAAGAGTAATTGGGGAGTAAGTTCCACTCCCTTGTAATCCATTCAAGAGGAGCAGGAAATAATCTGAGTAGTGCTAATAGCCTGTTAAATACAAAGAAACTCAAGGAACAGACTGAAACATCTGCCTTCAAACCATCAACCACAGCACCCATCCAGTTAATTCCCTGAGCAAAATTCCCCACGCAAAAAACAGTAACAAGAGATTCAGCCTCAGACTCCCCCAGAATGACCCCCCTCATCTTCTGAAAATGCTCACAGTGAATAGCCAAACTGCAAGAGCATACAGACAACTTACTCAGCATAACTGTGCTCTGGGCACAAAGACTCAGAAGCAAGGCTGCAGCTGCACCAATTAGAAGAGATTCACCTTACCCTGTAGATGAAGGCAATGGCCTGGCTTGTCCTGCGGTACTTTTTAGGGGACAGCTGCATGTGTGTTTTGATGACATCAGCAGGCTGCGTTGCCAGCGAAGCCAAGATTCCCGCGAAGATCCCACAGCCAAAATTCACCACAGGCATGAGCACTGGATCCAGCTGGACTGTGACAGAGAAGAGGGAACCCACTCAGATACAAAAGAGGCCAATAATACCCACACTGCATAATGAAGTGAAAATCTACTGAATTATAGAATCAATGGCAGAACATGACAGAAGTTAAAATCTCCTGACGGTAGAGCAGAAGGGGAGAAATGGCTACAAGTTAAAAGTTAGAACAGTTTAAAGCACTCACTGCTAAGGAACTGAATGTAACAGGAACTTAGATAAGGAAAAGTTGTTTAAGTCTTGCCTCAGCCAGTTCCTTAAGCAGAAACCCAAGCTCAGTGGAAACTAATCAGTATACAAGACAACCAGCAGCAAAAACCACTGCTTAACACATCCCCTCTTTCAGTTCTTCACTACCCTAACTTATGCATCACTCACCTACCTTAAGCAAGAGTCCTCAAAAAGACAGTAAATCTTGGTCCAATTTCCATTTCTATACTGACATGAGATCTATTAGCTCTCCACAACCAAAAGGCAAACATCTCACCTAAAGCCCCACAGCAGAGTAACTGAACTACTGATGACACGTGCAATAAGCAGAGCAGGGAATTATAGGGCACAATGAGAGAAAAGCAATGTTTTATGTCACAGCCTCCAAAGTTCAGCCTTACCCTGAGGTGTGAGTTTTTTGGTCTGCGTGTAGAACATCAGGTAGATCCCAGAGAAAGGTGCATCCCGTAGCAGGGTGGCAGTGAGCCCACTGAACATGCCACGAGCCCCTTCTGTCTGATAGATACTCTTCAGAGCTCCATACACGCTCCCATAGCCAAATCTTCCACTCTGCAGAGGTAGGTAAGAGTCAGTCATCACAAGCCAAGGAGCTCCACTCACACCCTGAGGCCAGTGTTCTCATCTGATACAAGATATGGCAGTAGAGATGAAAGCCCAAGGCAAAAACTGTGTTCCAGCTACCTCAGCCTCTAAAAGTCCTTCAAGAAGGTAAAACAAAAAGTATCCTACAATTACAGAGGCACTGCATACAAACAGAACTTTAAAATCTCAGTGTGAGTTTCACATTCACTTTCTGCCTAGTTATCAGTGGTATGGCTTGGCACTTGTGGCCCAATGTGTGAAGCAGGATGACACCACGACTACAATCCCTGGCTGTACCAAGGGGCAGCAATTTCCTCCTGACAAAAATGTCTGTCATCAGGAGAAAGGGATGTGACATCATTAACAGTGAACTAATTAGAAAGTCATACTCACCTCATACCGTGTCTTCACCACTGTTACTGGCAACATGCAAATCCCAGATACTGCACGTGCAGTGGCACCCAGAAAGACAGACTCCAGGGCTGTGGGTGAACGGTCCCCTAGAAACTTCTGCTTCATGGTGTACAGAGTGCTGAAGTAAATCCCGACCCCAGGAATACATCTTGCAAAGGACTTCACAGAAGCAGAAGCAAAGAAAGACAGAAAAAACATACTTTAGACAAAACATATCACTAAAAGCCAATGGTTTCCTGGGGCATAAGGAAGAGTGTCACAAAGATGGTGACAAAGGTCATGAGGAGCCTGGAGCACCTCCCTTATGAAGAAAGGCTGAAAGAGCAAGGATCTCATCACTGTTCATAAATCTAATGGGCAGGAGTCAAGTCAACAGAGGCTAAGGAAAGAAGAGGAGGAAAAACTAATGCCACTTAGATGCAGTGGGTTCAAGTGGGGCCAGGATCACAGAACGGCCAGGTTTGGAAGGGAGCTCAAGAACCATGAACCTCCAACCCCCTGCCACATGCAGGTCCACCAATCTCCACATTTAATACCAGATCAGGCTGCCCAGGGCCCCATCCAACCTAGCCTTGAACACCTCCAGGGACGGGGCATCCACAACCTCTCTGTGCAGCCTGTTCCAGCACCTCACCACTCTCATAGTAAAGACAGTATCCCAAAGCAGAATGAGGTTGGTGCAGCTGCCACTCACTTTTACAAAGTTTATTCGTGCATTCAGCTGCTCTGGATTGCAAACGCGCAGTGACTGCACCAGTGGCACTCACCACATTAACCATTAACTTCTTACAAGGGGATTTAACCATCCACATCACATGACTTCGTTCATAATTGTACAGGAGCCAGCCACTTCAATCCAGTCCTTAGTTATCAATAAACGGCAGGTTTGCTTGTGCATGTAATTATTAAGTCAAGGTCGGAAGAGCCACTTACGGGAGAGACGCCTTTCCACAGCCCCAGAAGACTTTCAGTTCGAACCACCCTGAAAAGCACCGTCACCATCCCAGCACGACCGGACCTGGAAGGAATACCAGACAGCACTCCAATGCCTCCCCGCACCACCGGGCCCATCGCCGCACCTCCACGTGTCACCCCGGCCCTCATACACTCCTCGTGGCCCCTTGGCCGCTCCTTCCAGAACACGCCGCTGCTCCATAGGGCCTCGGAACCAGTTACCCGTCCAATTACCCACCCAGTTACCCTCCAAGGGCGGTCGGCGCAACCCCGCAGCCCTCACCCTCCCACGGCCGGCTGCAAGGTCTGCAGGCGGGTCTTCAGCAGATCGAGGGGCTGAAAGAGCAGCGTGGAGCAGGTGCCGCTGATGGAGCCGCAGACGAAGGCCTTCAGCACGGGGTGCATCTGGAGGGGAACGGGGGACATGGCTGCTTTATCCGCTTCTAAACCGCGTCGCAAGGAACGGGAAGGGTGGAAAATCGCTCCTTTAAGGCGCGGCCGCGCGGCCGGGTCCCGCACCTCGCACCCCGAGGCACACGGGGCGCCGGGCAGCGGGCGACGCGGGCCGCCGCCCCCCGTCTGCCATGCAGGGGGAGCCGCGCGGGACCCCGGCGAGCTTCGCGTGCGCCGCAGCGGGCCGGACGCACGTCATTACCTCGTCCTCTCGCCCCGGCATCCCACCGCCCAGCTGAACCAGTGAGCGCGGCGGGCGGCAATGACGCGCGGACCTTTCCGCCGGCGGCCAATCCCAGCGCGGGCTCGGACGGCGGCGGGATCGAGCCGCGCATGCGCAACTCTTAACCCTTAGCGTGCCGAGGGATGCGTCAGATATGGCTTATTGCATCCCGGGCGTGTGATGGGTCGGTGCCGCGGGCATCACTAAGCACGGGTGTGTGTGGTGGAGCGGCCTGGAGATGAGCGCTGTGTTTAGAAAGCTGCTTTGGGCTTCTTTCTCTGCTTTGAGACCCCGCGTTCTGAGGGGTCACGAATCAGTGATTCTGTGAGTCGGCACCTTGTTTGGCTCCTGCTTTGAGGACACGGTGAATTACACGTGTCTCGAAGTGCTGGCCTAGTGGTGTGAGCTTTCACCTCCAATAAAGCTGGCAAACCCAAGTGAGGTGTGTTTGTGTGGAGGTTTTTGTGGTGCTGGGGTGGTGCGTCAGGCTGCTTTGTCCAGCTCATGGCGGCAGCTGGGTGCCCCTGGCTCCAAAGACCCCACAGCCGTGCTGCCCCCTGGCAGAGCCGTCCTCATCCCCACATGGAGCCACCAGGGCATCCGTGGGGCGGCTACAGACACCGGGACCTGCTGAGCCAACCAGAGGCTGCGGCAATGTCAGCCGAGCAGCTCACAGCTCATGCAGGAGCTGGATGCTCTGGCAGTACCGTGGCATCCTGGTGCCCACCTTGCTGTGGGGTTGGAGGAGCTTTGCTCTCTTGTTATGATCACGATGAATGAGGAGGTGACCCAGCACGATGGGGACAGTAACAGTGGGGTCACCTCCACTGGTGCAGGTTTTGACAAGGGTGACATGCAGGCTCCTGTTCATCTGCATCACTGGGACGTCCCCCACAGACATCTTCCCCGATAGTCCCTGGTGTGCAAGAACAGCAGTGCTGCTTCCCCCTCACGGTGATGCAGGGCAACGGTGCTGGGGCGCCCAGTGGGAGACAGGACACCTGGCAGACGCGTGGGGTGAGTGACAGAGCTCTTTCATTGACGTTCCTGCTCATGTGAAATGACGTACTGATCATCCAGGAGATAAGTCTGACACACGTTTCCTTTTCTGTAAGCATGAACTGAAGAGAATGAACTGACTGCCTTGTGGGTTTGTGCACCTTGAATATAACATCTGTCACACAGAGGAAGAGGCACTTTGAGATTCTGTGCTGTCAGGGTAAAGACTTTGCTGGCGGCTTGGTGCTGAAAGGTAAACTAAGGTAAGCGCTGCCACTATATATGTATGAAGATATACTTACCTCTCAGATGTGCTTTATACACTGAGACATTTTTCTGGCACTTCACACAGTACTGGATTATGGATGGGGACCTGAGGAGCCTGCTGGCCGGAGGAAAGCAGGAGGACTTGCCGGTGAGTGGATGCATCTGGGCTTGTTCCTGAGGGGCTGTCACTGGGAGAGGTCATTCTGGCGGGGACAGTGAGGATGTGGAACAAATCTCAGTGGTTGGGGTTCTTTGAAAGCAGCGTATGTGAAGGCACCTTCTGCAGAGGAGGCTGCTTTTGTCAGGGCTCACACACCCCTCCCTAGAGTCACAGGGGAAGTCCCTGTGCAGGAGATGTGCCCTCACCACTCTCAGTGGGCTGGGCAGGCTGTGGTGGGCACTGCCAGGAAGCTGCATGGCTTTGGAGCCGTGGGCACCCAGCTGACTCCATGAGCTGGACAAAGATCTTGACAGAACATAGAGCTGAGCCGCAAAACCTCTGCTGAGGGCTCTCTGAGCACCCTGGTCCATTTGACTGCTATTTTGGTGGTGCTCCCTCCAGCACTTGGACCAGCCGATCAGGCTGGATACAAACATGGGACTAGGCACATCAAGAAGTTGTGGAAGGAGGCTGATTTATCACAGCAGCTGCATTTCCTTTCATCTTCCCTGCCCCTCTGGCTCAAGACCCTCATCCTGTCAGGGCAGAGCCATCACACATGTTCATTCTCCATTTTCCCCATTTGTGTCATCTGACCTGGCCAAGGCACACCTGATTTTAACTTGTGGGCTTCATGTGAGATGAACTATATTTTTACTAGGAATGTAATTTGAGATTAGGATCTCACGAACTTCATTGTCCTTGAACAGGTGGATTACCATTTGTCACCAGCAGTTAACTCCTCTGCACCCTATGATAACATGTACTACCCTGAACTGGACACTGACTGTGAATTTGAAAGTATTCCATCATTTGCATCTTCATTTTTTCCAGTGCTGTACTCTATATTGTTTGTGGTTGGCCTCATGGGAAACGCTTTGGTTGTTTGGGTCCTAACAGTCTTTAAGAAAATCAGGGCCATGACTGACGTGTATCTGCTGAACCTCGCCATCTCTGACCTCGTCTTTGTCTTCTCCCTCCCTTTCCTGACTCAGTACTCCCTGGTAAGCCAGTGGACTTTCGGCAACGCCATGTGTAAAATTGTCAGCTCTGCTTACTTCATTGGTTTCTACAGCAGCGCCTTCTTCATAACCATCATGAGCATTGACAGGTACTTGGCCATTGTGCACTCTGTGTATGCCCTGCAGGTCCGGACAACCACCCATGGAATCATTGCAAGCCTGGTCCTTTGGGCAGTAGCCATTTTAGCATCAGTGCCAGGCCTTGTGTTCTTCCAGGAAGTGGATGATGATAACAGGACACTGTGCATCCCTCTCTACCCTGGCAGCGGTAATGGCTGGAAGGTCTTCAGTAATTCTGAAGTCAACATCATGGGGTGGCTGTTCCCTGTCAGCATCCTCATTTTCTGCTACCACAACATTTTGAGAAACCTACAGAGGTGCCATACTCAGAACAAATACAAAGCAATGAAATTGGTTTTTATCGTTGTCATTGTGTTCTTCCTGTTCTGGACCCCCATCAATATCGTGCTCTTTTTGGACTCTATGAGGAGCTTGCATATCATCGATGACTGCCAGACTAGCCAAAGGCTTGACCTGGCCTTGGAGCTGGCCGAGACACTCTCCCTTGTGCACTGCTGCCTCAACCCCATCATCTACGCCTTTGTTGGGGAGAAGTTTAAGAAGTATCTCTGTGAGGCTTTTGGCAAATATACCCATTTTCTCTTGATCTGCAAAGGACACAGTGCCTTCAACAGACGCAACACGGACAGACGCACCTCTCTGTATACAGCATCCTCACAGTCCTCTTTCGTCGGCAGCATCTTGTAGAGCTGCAAGGCAGAAGCTCCCTACTTTAGACTTGATTTGAAACCGAGAAATTCTCCCAGTACTTCAATAAAAACAGTCTTTCTGTTTCCTTGTAGGGGGAGGTTTCAGTGCAATGGCCTGTTATCAAAGTAAGACTAGGAAATCACACAATACCAGAGCAAGCTGTAGTGCACCTTGCTCTTTCATGTGCTCTGACACCATTCTGAACAGGGACACTATTCTGTCCCGTGCTTAGCAAATGTGAATGAGAACTTCAAACACTGAAAATCACCTTGCAAAATTCATCAGGTACCCCCTGCCCACCAGCTGAATAGTTTATCAAAGAAGACTTTTGTCTCTATCACAGGGAAGTATGGGGATGCACTGTTCAGACAACTTTTTAGGACAGGAGGTACCAGAAAAGTAGAATCATTTGCTTAAGCCTGCTTGTATTATTTGGGATTCTTATTTTTAGCATCTTTTTTATCATCTTCCTCTCTTTCCAGTAGCTCCTTCTGCCCAATCGACTTTGTGGAAGTGAGGCTGAAAAATTATTAACAGACTTCACACCAAGAGATATGCCCTGTCCCTCCAGCACAGGACACACGGTCCTCCAATATTCCTAATGAAATGATGAAAACCTTGAAGGATGGGAATACACAGCCTCTCTATGCAGATAGGGTGTCAAAGTCACACCTCAGTATTCCTCACCTAGATGTTGACAAAATGCATGTATAATATTTATTTTTTTTAATGCTTATTTAATTCCTCATGCATCCTGAGTGAGCTGCCACTCTGAGGGAGACAACTAAGTCTCCCCTAAGGAAAGGTCAGTGGTTTGCATACTAATACCAAATGGATGATGGTTATGGCACTGGGGCTGAAAGCCACCGCCTTCTGGTCTGCATGAACAAATGTCTAATTTTGGAGAGTGGATGAGAGCCTGGTGTCGGGAGGAACAGCTCTCATTTCCAAGCCTGGGACAGCAGGCAGCTCTTTCCCTTGTCTCAGCAGAGTGGATTTATCCTACAGGCGGTGACTGTGCTCATTGCAGGGTTGAGAGCATGCTTTGTGAAGGGAAACAGTCCCTCAGTTTAAGGAATCACTCCAGGGCTTAGCTCCTACCTGATATCTAAGCAAAGTTTCCAGACAGAGCTTAGTGAATGAGTGAATTAGGCAAGCAGCAAATAAATTACTGTTATATGGTAAGAGTGATGGGTAAAATCTTCCTGGGGATCTGCGGGAGGTAGCACAAATATTGACAGATAAATGCAATGGTGCTTTGAAGTTTTTGTTCCTTGTATATTTTTCTCTACAGGATATCACCCTGTTTTAAGTTTTATAATAAAGATTCTTCCTGCAGTGTAAATGCAAGATCTGAGGAACTCCCCTGTCCTATCACTGATTATTTCAGATTGCACATTTTCTTCTGTCCTGGCAGATTCACATAACTGACCATTCATCCAGCCACCTCCTCTCTCTTTCTCCCTCTTTCCTTCTCCCTGGGAGAAAGAGACTGAGAGCAGGTTGTCTTCGGGCAGGTTATCTTCTAGCAAGTCAGCCTCCCCTGGTAAAATCCCCACACCTTTCGAGTACCCTTGAGGTTATTTCCTAGAGAAGATCAGAACAAAACTCAGAAGGCAATTCTCTTTAGCTGCTGATCGTCAGATAGTGTTTATTTTAATGTGCATCCATATTGGTGATCTGCAAAATGCAGTCTTTTACAAGAACAGGTTGATAATAATGTATACTACAGGTAATGTTCCTTCATGTGGGCAGTGACAGATTCCCCAAATGATAAAGCGAAGACTGTGAAAAGATGAGTTTTAA